CCTTTACACAATGCTTACAGCCACTTTATTTGTCATAGTGCAAAACTGGAAACAACCTAAATGTTTTTAAATGAGTGAATGGTTAAACAAACTGTGGTGTATCTAAGGCATAGGATACTACTCAAAATCATACAGATGTTAGATCTAAGCCTCGAGTGCAATGGGAGTGCCAAGGAGTGCCTAGCCCAGCCTGAGAAAAGGCGGAGAAGAGGGTTAGGGAAGGCTTCCTGAAGGAAGTAGCACCTGAGCTTGGTTTTGAAAAGTAAACAAGAGATAGCTAGATCAAAAATAGGGGGGAGGGAGCATTTCAAGTAGAGAAAACAGTGTGGGCAAAGGCATGAAGTTTGAAGAGAGCACGCTACATTTGAGGACCTGTAAAATGATAATTCAACATGGTTGGAACCCGTTGGGGAGTAGCAAGAGATGAGCCTGTAGATATAAGCAGAATAGCCCTAGGGCCTCCAGGCTAAGGAGCCTCTCAACATCAGATAGCCACTGAAGGGTCTTAATTGGGGAAGTGAGCATCAAATCTGTATTTCTGAGAGCTCTCTGTCAAACGCTGGGTGAGGTAGTTTGGAGGGTGGTGAGAAAGACGACTGAGAGATCAATGTGGAGGCTGTTGCAATGTTCCAGAGAATGTGCAAAAAGTTGTGGCAGCAGGGAAGAGAGTGGAGGATGAGCACAAGAAATGTTTGGTGAATCCTAGTAAAATGTTCATTGTTCATTGTAAAATGATGAGAAGCAGGGGAGAAGATTTGTTTAGAAGGCAGAATCCATTGGACATGGAGACCAGTTCCTGAAGGTGAGAACACAGAAGACCTCTTCCCACTGGCCCCTCTCTGCCTTGGTAACAATGCTGTGCCCACTGTCCCCTGCCTACTCCATGTTCCTTCTCCTTGCCTTAGTGTTTCTGGGCTTGGGAGATTTGGCAGAGTAGGCAGAGGTGATCACCTTCCAGATTACTCAGAACCAACACACTGGCCCATAAACCAGAGGCGCATTTATTTCTGTCCAAGGCGTAGCTTGGCCTTGGCATCTCTTGAACAGTGTCCCCTCGTGAGGCCTCTGGTCCCTGGGAAGCTGAGTTGGAGAACATGCACCCAGAACAAAGGGAACTGAGTGTTCTTGGATTTTATTTAGAGAGTGGCAAAGCATGCCATCATGCAGAGAGTACCAGCTTGGAAGTCAGAAAGACCTGAGTTCAGAGCCCATCCCTGCCACCATCCTAGGATGGGAAACCTTGAAGACATTTCTTAACTTCTCTGAGCTTGTTTCTTCAGCTCTAACATGGCAATGGCGATTCTCTGCAATAAGACTTGTGAAAACTAAAAGAGATCATGAAGGGAAAGCTCCAGGCTCATGCTACATATGCCATTTGTGTTGGTTGTTTTCCATTGTCTCAAATGAACACTGCCTTCGACAAAATCCACCTCACTAGATACTGAAATATTAGTCACTAATAATTAGTGTCCTCCAGAAACTGTAGCTTTTTTGCTTAGACACTACTAGATTAACATAGACTCTTCTCTGGAGTCCTTTTTTAAAACCAGTTGCTCAAAACTTCATTATCTCATGCCAGGCACGTTACAACAGCATGAAGAGGGACAGAAAGTTCTTCAGCCACTGACTGGGCTCAGGAGACACATCTATCCCATCAGCAATATACCCACATCCATTTGCCATAATGGGTGCTTACTTTTGCATGTGGCTGATCTCATCCACAATGTACTGATTTTTCCTGGTTTCAGTTTCCAAAGGTGACCTTTTTCTACCCTTGTCCCCAGAGTCTGGGGCCTAGAGCTCCTCATGCATTGATCACCTCTGAATGGGATCAATTAGATCTCGGTTTTGTCACTTCAAGCTCCCCGTTCAGAATAAGCTCTGCTGGGATCTCCAATGGAAAAGAAACTGCAGCCTTTGGTTGTGGAGCAGAGTGGACAGGACAGTGAGTCTGGGTCAAGGTTTGTGAACCTCTGTCCTGAGAAGAGAGCTGCCAGCTTCCCTTCTTGCTTTTCCTTGTTTAAGAAATGCATGGAAGAATCAGTCTGAGGAGATAATTAATAGAAAATACAACTGTCAGCCATTCTTGTCTCTGACTCATTGTGCAAACTCCTGCAGTCGTTACCATGGTTTCAAGGCTGAAGTTTTCTCCTCTCTGCCCCCTGCCTGTTCTGTTCATACATCACTGCTCCACAGACTCCTCCACAGTCGGCCTCCACAGACTGGTTCAGACTTAACCCTATATAGCTTTTTTGTTGTTTGTTTTACAACTAATGTTTATTGCCCTTTTTCTTTTCTTTTCTTTTCTTTTTTTAAAAATATATTTTATTGATTTTTTACAGAGAGGAAGGGAGAGAGATAGAGAGTTAGAAACATCGATGAGAGAGAAACATCGATCAGTTGCCTCCTGCACATCTCCTACTGGGGATGTGCCCACAACCAAGGTACATGCCCTTGACCGGAATCGAACCTGGTACCTTTCAGTCCGCAGGCCGACGCTCTATCCACTGAGCCAAACCCGTTTCGGCTATTGCCCTTTTTCTTGGGGGGAAAAAAAACATGCCAGTTGACATAAACATAATGTAAACAGAAAAAAATGAAAAATAATCATTAACTCATATTCCAGAACTAACACTTAAGATTTTATTATATTTCCCTCCCCATCTTTTATGATGAATACAGCATAGTTGAGATGGAACATGATTTTGTATCTGTCTTTGAAGTGCTTTTAACCCTGAAACCCCCAGCAGAAGTGTACCTATCCTTTACTCCTTTGAGCGACAGGCCTTTAGGCACGGCTTTGGGAAAATTCAGCCACTTGCACAGGCTTGCTTATTGCTGTTGTTGCTGTTATCTGCTGGAATGCACAGAGCTCTCACAATTGTTCCCTGAACTAAGCATTTGCCTGGCACATCAACCATTGAACACTGGGTTCTTCGCTGGAATCTGAACTCTGCTTCATTCCCACTCCAAGACTGCCATAACCAGTGGTTGGTTGCAGGAAAGGCTGTTCCCTATGAAAACCCGGAAGTAAAGGTGCCTCGGGGCTGTGAATGAGCCGATGAACATGTCATTATCAAAGCCCACGCCACATCTCCCAGCTGGACTTGGCAAGTCAGTACATGGGGCCTGTGGTATCCTCCTCAGAAGTGGGGGAGCAATGACCCCTTCTATGCTGAGTGTGCTCCCCATAGTTGATCACTCCCAATCTGAAACAAGGTGTGCCCAAGATGTGCTGTGTCCAGAAATCACAGCAGCACAGCATGAGAAGGTTGCTTTTTATGTATGTGTTGGAGGTGGGCATGACCCACAGGTCTAAGCATAAAGCATCCCAAGTCCAACAAGGCTGTCTCCAAAAACTGAACTCTGAGCTGAACCACCTATAGGTTCTGGCCAGCAGTGGGAGCTGGCACAGCTTGCAGAATGGAGGAAAAGCTCTAACCTTATATATGCGGGTTATGGGTAAGGGGAGAAAGTGTGGGGGCACAAATTCAAAACTCATTTATCTTAGGCTCTATGAACTAGTGGTTGCTTTATGTGTTTTATAAATATGAACTTATTTAATTCTCTTAACACCCAGTAAATAGGTACTATTAACATTACCTCCATTTTACAGATGATGAAACTGAGCCAAAGAGGTGCGGTAACTTCAAGGTCACGGAGCTAGTAGCCAGATGGTGCAACAGGGATTTAAAGCAAGAATCCAGGCTTTTAACTACTATATTATGCTGCACCATTATAGTAATTTTGGGAAATACACAACTACCTGTGCTAGCACCACTGGTCACATTTCACTGGGTAGCCTTCCTGTCCTTTAATGCATATATTATATAGTACACTATATACTTTTTCCCGTTGGATTGACTTTTATATATTGTAAACAGTATTTTCAAGAAACACACCTTCAACAAAGCACAAGACATTACATCAACAGTTCCAAATTCATTTTACAGACTTTATGCAATAAAAAGCCAAAAGCAGCCCTGACCGGTTTGGCTCAGTGGATAGAGCGTCGGCCTGCGGACTGAAGGGTCCCGGGTTCGATTCCGGTCAAGGGCATGTACCTTGGTTGTGGGCACATCCCCAGTGGTGGGTGTGCAGGAGGCAGCTGGTCGATGTTTCTGACTCTCTATCCCTTCCCCTTCCTCTCTGTAAAAAATGAATAAAATATATTTTAAAAATAAAAGATAAAAAGCCAAAAGCAGGTGAACATAAGACTTGTCTAGCAATCAATGACTTAATAGTTGAAATTAGTTAATTTGACTTGCTCACATGACTAAGGTTTTTTTTTTCTTTCAATAAGGATACACTATATACTTAAAAAAGAGAACTATTCTACAGCTTGGTCTGTATTCTTCCTTAAGGCCATTTCCCATGTCTGTATTGTAAATGGCAAATACCCTTTACTGTGATGGAAACATTTATTTAAGCAATGCCCTACTGAGGTACATTGAGACTGCTTCCAATTTTTCTCCATGACGGAGTTCTGCAGGAGGCAGAGAGGGCGATAGCCTTTTTTGAAAACTATCTTTTGAACCCAATCAGCTACAGCTGCAAAATAAAATTTAAAACCTCAAGGGAGGGAGGACTTGTGTGTACGAGGGGGCAGGAGGAGGGCGTAGCCTCGGAGGCTCTTCCTGCTTCCCCTTTGTCTGGAGGCCACACGGGATTGGCTAGAGCCGGCGCTGAGGGACTGCAGAGGCTCAAGGCTTCCACTACGCACGCGTAGAGGGGCAGAAGTAGGGGGAGCGGGGGAAGCAAGGGAGCTGGCACAAATAAGGGCGTGAGAAGGAAGGAACATAAAGCGCAGAGGCGGGGCTTCCTGCCTCGCTCTACCTGTGGCCCGGCCCCCAGCCAGCCCAAGCTTCTTATTGGTCAGGCATCTTCAGCCCCATTGGTCCGAGAACCAAAGGACTGTGTCTGCCCCAAGATATGCCTGCTCCCGGAGCCGCAGTAAAAAACGGTCAGTTGTGATGCCGCTTTCAGGCATTTGTTTGGGACAGGCCCGTAGGACCTGAAGGGGCTTAGTGGGGCAACCGGTACAGTTGAGAGTTCAACGTCAAGTTTCCTAGATGCCTCCCAAAGGAAAAAGCGGTTCTGGAAAAGGTGGAAAAGGTAGAGCGGACAAAGCAACCAGGGAGAATAGGGTTAGGTGGGAAGCGAGGGGAGGGAGCTGACCGGAGACCCCCGGGGTCCGAGATGGACGCAGCAGGTGGTCAGTGACTGACCTGGAAGTGATTAGAGATAATCAGTGTGAACTTCACTGGAAAGCTTTAATTTAAAAAGCATGGAAATTAGACGGTAGATAGAATAGGACAAAGGACTAAGAGAAAGTGTTGTTTGGGGAAAACTGGGAATGAGGCTGATGTGAAGGATCCAGTTGAATTAGAGAGGCAAAGGTACCGAGGAGTGAGATTTAAGAAAAAATGGGGTCCAGGAAAGAGGAGCAGTTGAGCTTTGAAGAGGAGAAGGGACACCTGATGCTTGAGGTCACAAGAAAAGCGATGGGGCTGGGGATGGTTGTAAAAATTGGGGCCAGAGAGGGGGAAGGGGTAGAGCTTGTAAGAGATCGTACTTAATGCCTCAATTTCTTAGTAAAATGGAAGGTAAGAGTAAGTTTTAAGACTGAGGGGCAGGGACTGAGTAGGGATCTTGAGAGGTGAAAGTTTGGAATGGTCACAGAAGGTGATGGGAGAGGGAATGAAATACTAATAAAAAGGATTGCCCTGCCCAAACCGGTTTGGCTCAGTGGATAGAGCGTCGGCCTGCGGACTGAAGGGTCCCAGGTTCGATTCTGGTCAAGGGCATGTGCCTTGGTTGCGGGCATATCCCCAGTGTGGGGTGTGCAGGAGGCAGCTGATCGATGTTTCTCGCTCATCGATGTTTCTAACTCTCTATCCCTCTCCCTTCCTCTCTGTAAAAAAATCAATAAAGTATATTAAAAAAAAAAAAGGATTGCCCTGAGGGCCGAGAGCCTAAGATTGAAGGCTATGCATTTGTAGACGACACATTCTGCACAGTCATGATTTACCTAGTACCGAAGCTGCTGCCAAAGTCCTCAGTCAATCAAACTGGAACAATACAGGATTGAAAAGAGGTGTAGCCTTGAGCCGAGGTTGAGGTTTTGTTGGACAATGATAATAGAAGGCTAGCAACACAAGGGAATTAAGGGTGCTGGTGGGAAGGGATCAAGTTCAGATGATCTATCATGGTATCCAGACTGGGAAGGGAAGGAGCAGTCTGATAGTGCAGGGGAACATAGCTGGATAAAGGAACTGGAGGTGGGGATGGTTTCTGTGAAGACGAAGAGTCGGTGTTGTGGGAATGAGGCATGAGAAAGCTAGAAGAATTGGAAGTTGTAGCCAGAGACTGAACTGCTAGTTCTGAGTGGCACAGTTTCATCCTGTGCCTCTGGGAGCAGGTGGCCTGGAGTAGAAGACATGAGCATTCGGGAGGGAAGTCCAGAAGTGTGAGGTTAGGTTGTTGGGTGATTCCTCACTGTAGATGGTGAGATCATCTAAGATGATGGCAGGAGTGAGAGTGGAAAGGAAGCCTGAAGCTGCTGCCAAAGTCCTCAGTCAATCAAAGGGAGGGAGATGGCAGTCAGAAGATGACAGCACCCAATGGGTAGAGGATGGGATAACTGGAAGGCATCATTGCTCAACAGTTAATATACAGCAAACTCACTTAAGAGTTTGATGTAATAAAACTCCTTTGGCAGTAATATGTTCTTAGGCATTTAGTGGTCAGAACAGTATTTTGGATTCTCAGTTTAGTTGAAATTTTTTGAACAACTGTTGTGTGCCAGGCACTGTGCTAGACATTGGAGATACAAATAAGATGGAGTCTCCTGATTAAAACATTTCAATGGCTCCCTGTTACTTGTAGGATAAATTCCAAGTTTCTTAATGGGGCCTAAAGGCCCTCATTCCCTAACCCTCAGTCACCTCCCCTGGGCTCATCTCACAGCGTTCCCATCTCAGATTTGGCTTTATCCATAGTTTCCAACATACCATGCAGTTTTTCCATTCTGGTGTATCCCCTCACCCTTGTTCTTTCTTTACCTCATCAGTGCCTATACATCCAGGAAACCTTCCCTGACTGGCTAAAATGTCCCGCTGTGCTTCCACAGCCCCCTGTCCGTAGATCATAGATCATCTTCTGAAATGATCTGTTTACATATCTGAGAGCAAATGAGCTCCCTGAAGGAAGGTACCATGCTTTGTTCATCTTTGTATTCCCAGTGCCTGGAACTTAGTAGTTACTTAGGAAATGTTTATTTAACTGAAAATTTAATCCAGCAACAGTTCTCAGGAACGTGAGGCTCTAACGTAAGTATGCTGCCATCAACATAGAAGTTAACATTGTAGTAAAATGATATACTGGTAAAATTTAAGTTTCTGCCAATGGTTGTTAATCTGAATACTGATAACTTTTCTTAGGAAGCTATCAAGTACGCAATGTAGTAGATTCTGGGAATTTGGACATAAATGTATTACTTAGCCAAATATGGGTAGTGGGAAATTTTATCTTTATTTAAAATATATTCTTGGAGATTTTACATATTGGAATTGTGAGTACTCAAATACATAATTGCTGTGCTTATTAAAAATCTTACAAGAGCTCAGGGGTTTGCACTTAGAAGGCAGGATTTCAAATTGGGTCCAGAGAATCTGGACCAGGCTTCTAGCACTCTCATTCAACCATTAGCACCCTCACCTGTGTATCTATTTTTCAGTGAATGGTTTACATAGGGCATACATTTCCTGTTTAGAGAGGTAAGTCACAAATGAATTTAGCTTGATGTAGTAAAGTGTCTGGCAGAGTTCCCCTTTGAAGCCTGGTGCTATGACAGAAGCATCAACTCTTGTTGTGTTGGACCTTTCTGTAAATATCAAGGTGCAGTTTAAATGAGTACCTGTTATCTCTTCTCTAAAGGAGGAGCAGCATCTGGGAGTGATAGCTCTGACAAAAAGTCTCAGGGTCCCAAAGGTGGTGGCAATGCAGTAAAGGTGAGTTACTGGTTCCTTTTTTTTTTCATGTTAAATATGAATAACATATATACATGTGTTATTTTGGTGCGCATAAAGGGAAAGACAGTTTGCTTAACTCATTCTAAGAGACTAGCCTTAGATAAGCCACTGATATAAAATCAAAATAACACAAAATTGGAAACTATAGACCAATCTCACTTATGAAAAGTAATTCCTTTTAAATATTTTTCAAATGCTTTCTTAGACATCAGAATTTCTTCATACTTTAGTATTGTTTCTTAAATGTATTAAGTTAGATCTTACCAGTAAGTGAATGAATTAGTTCTTAGGACAAAATATCTTATAAAACCAAAAACTTAGGTAAACAGGCAAAGGCACGGGTCTCACTAAATAGCTGCCCTGCTGGTGAACTAAAAGCCAGGACCCTGACCATGAAAATGGGGGTGGGACACAATCGCAAATAATTATTGAAGAGCTTGACCAAGTCTCAGAGGAGTGTCTGCCCTGGGAAAATATAATCTGCAAACAAAACTATACTACTTAGTACTGTTTAACAGGCCATTTTCCATGTTTCAGTCAGGATATGGGATCCCATACTTTGAATCATTCATTCAATAAGGATTTAGTGACATCTGGCCTATGCCAAGCAGTGTACTAAGTTCTGGGTATTAAAAAACAAACAGCTCAGCTAGTTGAGTGTCGTCCCATGCACCAGGAGGTCACAGGTTTGATTCCTGGTCAGGGCATATGCCCAGGTTGTGGGCTCAATCCACAGTAGGGGGCATGCAGGAGGCAGCCGATCAATGTTTCTCATTGATATTTCTATCTCTCTCTCTCTCCCTCTCCCTTTCTCTGAAATCAATAAAAACACATTTTTTTAAAAACAGATAAGAGATTGTTTCTGTTATCCCAGTCTAGTTGGGAGCAGTTAGGCAAAGAAATAAATTTTATCACTGTATGATAAGTGCACTAGTGAAATTATATCATATAAATCCAACCATACACATGCAACCAGAGAGAGAGAGCAGGGGGCAGGGAGAAATAATATAAATAGTGAGGGCTATTCTGCCCACTTTTCTAGCAGGGATGAGATGGGAAACATGAATCTGCTTTTTTGTAGTTGACCTCCATTTTCGCATGAACTTCCAACTCATGAAGTGGCTTTTAGTACCCAAAACATGGCCTCCTATATACAAACCAGCTAGTTCAATCAGGTGGTCAGCTGAAGAAGTGGCCATTGTTATAAAACAGGTGGGGAGACAAGTTATATTGGGCTTAAGGAGGGCTGGCATATTGGTCTCCAGTATGGCATTTTCATAAGGGATGTAGAGTGATTTGGGCTATGTATAGTTTTTATCTTACATGCTGACTTTTACAAGCACCTAACCTAAGGGACTGCTCCACTGCATATGGCATCAAAGAGGCATCTTGCCCTTTCTGGACAAAAGTAAGTTCAGTGGGTCTATACATGAACTATATGGAAAAGAGTGGCATGGAAAATCTATTAGGGTTAAACTTTTTCTTTTGAGATAATTTTAGCCTCATGTTCAATTGTAAGAAATTATACATGTACCGCTTACCCAGTTTCCTTCAATGGGTATCTTACAAAACTCTATCTAGTACAATAGCACAACCAGGAGATGGACATTGATATGGTGAAGATAACAGAGCCTTTTTTTTTTTTAGTAGTAGTTAGTTTTTATTTATTTTTATAATTTTTTTA